TGGATGTGAACATGAAGAGATAAGTGTAAAGAGGGAAAATGTCCAAATGGTCGCAGAAAACAAAACAAAGGATTATGCTTAGTTATCAGCAGACGWGTGTTTGTTGTTTTACTGTTTTTCTCAACAAATTAAATCACAGATTTAAAGAAATGGTTTGGGACATTATTTTTGGTGTTGCAGTAAGTGAGGATATTGGCAAATCTGTCATGTCTCAATCGAAAGCACCAAGATTGAGCCTGGAGGTGATTAGCCTACCTTAGCGCAAAGACTGCAAAGTGATATATACTATAAAGGCATAAATCAAATACAGTCAAACACATGTACAAATTATTGTTTGTAGGAATAAATGCAATGTATCTTCATAAAATAAATAAATAGCACTTGTCACTAAGTTTTCTGTTAGTGTCTAAATTAAACAACCAGGACAAAGTTTCATGACAAAGTTTCTGCCGACTTCCAGGATATTGCTTAGCTAGACTACTAACCTTCCCACTCTACAATTACTGCACAAAATTATAGTAATATAAAATTTAACAAACTACGACTAGACTTACAATGTTTAATATACACTCACCGGCCACTTTATTAGACACACCTGTTCAATTGCTTGTTAACACAAATAGTTAATCAGCCAATCACATGGCAGCAACTCAATGCATTTAGGCATCTAGACGTGGTGAAGACGACTTGCTGAAGTTCAAACCGAGCATCAGAATGGGGAAGAAAGGGGATTTAAGTGACTTTGAACATGACATGGTACTTGGTGCCAGATGGGCTGGTCTGAGTATTTCAAAAACTGCTGATCTACTGGGATTTTCACGCAAAACCATCTCTAGGGTTTACAGAGAATGGTCCGAAAAAGAGAAACTATCCAGTGAGCGGCAGTTGTGTGGACGAGAATGCCTTGTTGATGTCAGAGGTCAGAGGAGAATGGGCAGAGTGGAGATGATAGAAAGGCAACAGTAACTTAAAAAAACACTTGTTACAACCAAGGTATGCAGAATACCATCTCATCCAGAAGACCACACCTGGTGCCACTCCTGTCAGCTAAGAACAGGAAACAGAGACTACAATTCGCACAGGCTCACCGAAATTGGACAATAGAAGATTGGAAAAACGTTGCCTGGTCTGATGAGTCTCAATTTCAGCTGCGACATTCAGATGGTAGGGTCAGTATTTGGTGTAAACAACATGAAAGCATGGATCCATCCTGCCTTGTATCAATGGTTCAGGCTGGTGGTGGTGGTGTAATGGTGTAGGGGATATTGTCTTGGCACACTTTGGGCCCCTCAGTAGCAATTAAGCATCGTTTATACTCCATGGCCTGCCTGAGTATTGTTGCTGACCATGTCCATCCCTTTATGACCACAGTGTACCCATCTTCTGATGGCTACTTCCAGCAGGATAATGCACCATGTCACAAAGCTCACATCATCTCAAACTGGTTTCTTGAACATGACAATGAGTTCACTGTACTCCAATGGCCTCCACAGTCACCAGATCTCAATAGTGGCGGAACAGGAGATTCGCATCATGGATGTGGATGGATGGATTTGCATCATGGATGTTTCCAACACCTTGTTGAATCTATGCTACAAAGAATTAAGGCAGTTCTGAAGGCAAAAGGGGTCCAACCCGGTACTAGTGAGGTGTACCTGATAAAGTGGCCAGTGAGATATACTAACTATTAGAAACAACTTCAGAGCGAGTTGGACAAAGACAGCACTTTTTTGCATTTGAAAAAGATGACGATACCAATCAAAAACAGTTGTAAGGCTAATGTCTTACACAAACAATTAAAAGGTCTACTTTCAAAAATTGCTGATGAGGCGAAGCTGACACACATTATCCTCTGTGCTGCTAGCATACATTATTAATGCAGCCATTTAAAGTTAATATCAACCACTGCTTGAGGTTTTGTTCCTGGTCGATGTTCTCCCTCATACTAGCTGACAAGCCACAGTGACAAGCTACAGTGACACGCACACTTATTCACTCAGTGCTCTGTCCTTACTGTTGGTGTATAGGAATAAAAACCAAAACAGGGCTATTGTGTGAACACTAAGGAGACAGGACAGCAGGTGGGCCAAGGACAAAGTGGACAGGGGGGCGGGGGTCTTATGGGTGTGTGTGGGAACCAAGGATTAGTTTGAATGGTGGGATGTAGCTGCTGGGGATCCTGATCTTAACATGGTCAATTGCTTTGACCTAAACTCAAGGGTCAGTGGGCAGCATTTAGAGAATGAAACAAACTTTTCTCTTGTTTTAACAGACGTTGACTTGTATAGTTCATTCTCCCTTAAATTTGCATTAATGCTATTTAACACAACAAATGTGCTCTCTTCATAGTTATCACTCAGAAGTAATACAGTCATTCAAAGCTATGGCTTGGTATTTTCAGACAGCCTATGTGCAGTCTTTATATTAAAGGTCCAGTGTTTTTTTTTTTTCAAGATTTAGGTGAAAGGGAACTATTGGAAGAAATATAATGTAGAATATAACTCATGATGTTTTCACTAGTTCATTTCATCTAAATTGTATGAAT